TGCGAGAATCTGAGAGGAAGAAGGTGAAAACAGACGATGAAGTCAGATGATCTCTGCTGCGATTTCAGAAAGACACCTTCCACCGTTTTGATCATATCTCTTGATTGGATGATTCAAATCACATTCGGCAAATTGGGGTGGATAGAGTACTTCATTATCTACAACTTTCATGAAAGAAGTTTTGTCAAATTCGGAAGTTACATAGGCACGATCGTGCCCTCAAAGTCAGATACGATCGTGCCTGAAGAGAAAAGCACCGCGGAGTTACTGCCAGCCAGGCACGATTGGCACGATCGTGCCTGCCCAAAATGCGTGTTTTTGCTCCGGAGGCACGATCGTGCCAATCGTGTCTGGCTCCGAAAATCCCTATTCAGCTCAAATTTGACCCGATTTTTCTATTTAAACAGCCTGTAAACCACCGTTTTCAAGGGGAAGCTTAGAGAGAGTGCCTAGCACGAATTCTAGAGGGCTTTTCAGCCTTGTTCATCAATCTTTTGGGACTCTTTGTAAGTTCCACCTTTTTAATTAATGACAATTAATTCTTTTTATTCTAATTCTATTGATTCTTCAATTATGAATTGTGAGTAGTTTTAATTAGGGATTTGGGATTGATGAAGGGGTTAATCATGATGTATGGCTAGATTCTTTTCGGTTTAATTACATGAATGCCGTTTAATTTGTGTTTGAATAATTTAATTGATATCTTTTGTAACCTAGAATCGCGACTAGAATTACAATTGCATGTAGAATAAATTAAGAGAGATCTAATTTGTTCTAGGACACATTCACACACACTTAATCGTTCGCTAAGAGATTAGTAGCGATTAAGGGGCCGTAAGCTCGCTCGTCTTGGCAATAATTTAGGATCCTGTCGCATGAGAGATCAGCCTGGTCCCCTAAATTATTGTACTCTACGCCGCGAGAGCGGTAAGAACTTAGTAATGATTAGCTAGGCTCAATTAAATTAATTTCATGTAATTAGGCCTGATCTGCCAGAAATCTGGTTACCCCGGAATCGATCCATGTTCCCTTCGTCATTAATTAGAAAGAACCCCCTAGTTTAATTGTTCGCATTAGTTTAATTTTCCAACCAATTAATCTCGCACGACGCATTTATTTTATTTTCTTTTTAATCGCTGAATTTAGTTAATTCTTAATTCCCTTTTGTCCGTCCCTGTGGAGACGATACTCGTACTTACACCAGTATATTACAATCTTTTTAAGTGCGAGAAAACACACATCATAACTAAAAGTTACCAAGTCAATTTTTTGTCCGTAACTCTTAAAAGACTAGTAATATTAGTGAAATTTTATCCGCATATTAAGGAAATAAACTTACTAGAGGGTAAATTTTACTATTTTGACACTGTTTGACACTGTTTGACCCTGTTTTGCACTATTTTGCACTAGATAACTTTCCATTTAAGAAAATGGGAAGTTAAATTAGGGACATCTAAATAAGGAAAACATGTGGTTAGAAAATATATCTTGTATAAGGAGTAACTTTTTCATATTTTAAATCACATTTTCACTAGGCAAAAACAAATTCTACGTTTCTAAATTATGGACATGACACTAAAGTTCAATCTTTCACTAAATGAGAGAATCGGAGGAAATTTGTGAAATATATCAATAAATTATGGATATATATAAGACGTGTACACTAAAAGAATAAAATTAATGTAACAATCCGTAATGATTCAAAAGAAATGATGAAATATATTCCCAATGAATTCTAATGTGGATGTTTCAAAATTATAGACTTGTATTATGTAGATTAACCTAAATACGAAAAATCATACACTAGGAAAAAATTAAGTAGGTGTGGATGCTTTAGCCCACCATATTGATCTTCCCCTGCAAACAACTTCCTTACAAATTATGCTCTTTTTTGACGAATTTGTTGCGTACATAATACACAACACCTAGGGGCTAGGTGGGCGTGTACAAAAAACGTACAAAATGGCATATAAACGCATTTTTTCATTGATCCATTTGTGGAATCTCCCACCCCCAAAGCCTCCCACGCCCCTACCTGACAGGGCAGATGGGAGGATGTAAATCACGACGACTCAATCGGCGGAGTGGCAGTAGGCTCATATGCCCGTGCGCGCCAAACGTGAAACGTCCAACCTATTTTAGAGGTTGTGGCCTCCACACGGTCGCTGCGGGGACTCGAACCTAGATTTCTTGATCTAATTTTCCATCACTAATTTTCCATCTAATTTTCCCAAGATTCAAACCAAGATTTTCACGTACACGGTTTGAGCCAAAATCCTATCACCCCAACAACTTGATTAATTATATTCAAAACAGGTGAATGACCGTTGACGGCATTAATTCATACTGAATTTGTTTACTAATTAGCACTACTTTGATGACTTCTTCTTATCGTACATTATTAGATCGATAAAGGTTGACTTTAGAAGCAGAGCAGTCGCAATGACGCGTATGTCATTTTTTGGACTACCAATTCAATACTTGATATATATGGTCGGAGTGCTAGCTATAAATCAAATTACATTATTGACGTGAGGATCTCTCCTACAGTCGATCTCACACATGAATGATACAAGTATTAAGTAGTCATAAATATATGTAACTTAATTGGTTATCGTGACAATGAAAGCTGTTTTGTATGTTATGGTGTTAATCTTGGTTCACGGTTTGGCACTCGATAATGGAAACAAGATAATGAGGATGAGCTATGGCGCCGTCGTCGTGAAAGCTACGCCGGCAGAGGAGGAGGCGGTGATGATGATAAGCCCATCATCGCACAATGAGGAGGAGTACGAACAATCATCAAGAGCGCTACCGGGGACATGGTACCAATCTCCGCAGCCCTATGGATCCCATCGTCAGGGTGGTGCGACGGCGCCACCACCTTCTTCTTACGTCATGGCCGCCGCGTCAAAACTCTATCAGCCAGGCCCGCCACGCCGCCGCCTTCTACTCTAGCTAGTTCAATTCATCTCCGCATATCAGCTTTTTTTCAAAGTTTTCGAGTTTGTTTGCTGCATTTGATAATAAGCTAACTTAGCTGCTTCAAATTTTATATGCAATATATATGTAGGTATGCGTAGACTGTAGACTACTCCGATCAGTATTATCTATCATGATACTCTTTGAAAAATGTTGTACCTCAACTCACAATACATCATTTTTATTTTCTACTACTCATAGTGAATTTTTTTTTTTTTTTTTTAGTCCCGGTATTGAGCCAAACCCTTTCGGTTTCGGGGTAAGGGCCGGGGAACACCTCACCTATTTATTAGAAAGAAGAAAGTGTACAAGAGTACGAGGACTAGACCAAAGCGTACTCGGAAAATTAAAAAACATATGGATAACTAATTGTCTACTCATAGTGAATTAACACACTAATCAAGATGTACGTTGTACTCCATTCTTGACTAAATTATACTACCTCCGTCCCACCAAGATTGAAACAATTAGGTTTACGATGCTTGACCGATGATAAAACAAAAAAAAATTACATGTTCAGAAACTACATTAAAAGCTTTACAAAGTCGCAAAAACCAGAATCAAATTTGATAAAAATTTGATATATAAAGTAAGAAATTAAGAGTGATTTATGTCGACCGAGTAAATAGTGTCTGAGACAATCTTAGCGAGACGGAGAGAGTAGTAGTATTTCAAAGTATAGTTGTGAGGAGATTAAAATAGTGTATATTGTGTGACGAAGAATTGTGTAGAAGAGGGAAAAATATGTAAAAATGTTGTAAACTCAAATGCACAAGTAGGACTATAAATTTTTAATTCCCTATATAAGACTTCGGATTAATTATCATTGATGTGGACATATAAAATTATTGGGCCAATTGTCATGGCCATTGGACTCCTTGTAAATATTATCGGGCTATTCTCAACTTTATTGAGCTTCTTTTAAATGTTATTGGGCTTATTTCAATTCCGATTGGATTATTCGTGATGGTTGTTGGGCCGTAGCAAATGCAAAATATTAAGATGGGTCTATTCGGATAAAATTTAGTGATTAAATTAATTTGAATCATTTAAAACAACAAATTGATTTAATTTTAAATCAAGTCTTTAAAAGAATGGGTTGATCCTTTTAAAATTCAATTCCTTAATAAATCCTCTATTTTTTCTTCCAAAACAAATCCTCTATTTTGGGTCCAATATTAAAAAGTGGCCCAATATATAAGATACATGGCCCAAGTCATGAAGCGAGCAATTAATCTAGTTAAGAATTCCACCCAAATGCATGGAAAGTAGTTATGAACCTTGTTAACAAAGTTGCCTAGATACATCGCACAAGTGCTGATTTTTCTAGCTATGAAAATGCAAGTAAATTAAGCTCAAAGCCCATTTCAATAGAGACCCTACAGATATGGATGAATTACTCAAACCCTAAAACATATTTCATCTCTTCCACATCTATAAATAGGGGTCTCAATTGAGAAGGAAAGGGGAGACTTCCGGAATAAGAAAACATTGCCAAGTGACTTTCACGCGCGTTGTAATAATCATACACGACTATTACCCTTGATTATTAATTAATAAGTACTACACGTCTACATTGTCTTGGTAAACTCCCCTTATTTGTCTAAAACATAGAATGATAGAAGGCAAGATCAAACCTATTTGGATGGGTAATGTCGGCTACCCTATATCTCATCTTGGCTTTACAGATGACCTACTTATTTTAATTTATTAATGGGGAGTCTCGATCACTATTGAATTTCAAGAAATTTATTGAAGGCTATCAGATTGCCTCAGGACAGACTGCTAACCTAGATAAAAGCTCTTTATTTGCGGAAAACCGGCTTTGGGCAAAGTGAATATTATAAAAAACTTGTCGGGGATGAGGAACTCTGACAATTAGCTTATTGCTTGGAAACAGAAGCACCTTACTCGGGGGGGGGGGGGGGGGTAATTTTGATTAGACATGTTCTGAACTCTATCCCTTTACATATTCTGGTTGTGGATCTTTTTCCCAGAAAAGTGATTAATATTCTTGAGAAGAAGATGGCAGCATTCCTTTCGGGGTCATCTAATGACAAGCAAAAAACTCACTGGGTTAAATGTTCTGATCTTTGTTACCCAACTGAAGAAGGGGGTGGGGTATCAGGTCTTTGTCTACAATTCAAAAGGCTTTCTCTATGAAAATCTGGTGGAAATGGAAAACTCATATATGAAGCTCATTCTTCAAAGCTAGATATCCCAAAGAAGATATGAATGTTAAAGTCACCGACTCAGCCATTTGGAGGAGGATATGCTTCAAAGCTAGAACAATTCACATTATCCACTGTTTACAATGAACTAAGAGAGGTTCTTTCCCATACTTTTACTCATAGGCATATTAGGCATAAAACCCAACCAATGCAAATTAAGATCTTTATTTGGAAGCTTCTTCATAACTGCATGCCTATTACCGATAATCTGCGGAGATTTAATTTGGTCATAAGGCCTTCCAGGTGTCCTATGTGCATGAATAATTTTGATACAATAAACCATCTCTTCTACCAGTGTTCTTTATCAAAACAGATATGGAGTTATTTCATGAATATATTTCACATACCTATTCCAAGACGTCAGCCATAGGTCAGACAAATATTTATACAATGGTGGTTGGAGGCTGGTTCTAAGACTATGGGAGATCTATTCAAGCACAATTTACCAGGTATTATCTGTTGGTTCATTTGGAAGGCCTACTCTGCGCATACATGGGGTACAGTTCCCATACCAACGAAAAAAGTTTTGATTTATCAGATTAAACACCACACTCAACCCTGGTCAGCTAATTTCTCTAAAATGAAGCAAAGAAGAATTGAAACTTATCTGATTCAGGAGGGGATGATTGCTCATAACTTCACTTATGGAAGACCGATGTTCCATCGATGGAAACGACCACAGGGTGAGTATAAGTTAAATGTTGATGCCTCATTCTCCTATGACAGTTCGGCAGGGGGTGCCATTTTCAGAGACAAATTAAAGGGGGGAGATGATTTGGGCGATACAATTTCCAATCAGTGCTAACTCCAGTCAGGAAGCTGAAGGGCGGGCTGTGCTTTTTCCGATTAGAATGGCTATAGAGCTTGGTTTGTTAATCAAAATAAAAGCTTCATTGACTAAACTGTGAACTGCAAACTTCCCCCAAAAGTCATTGCTAATCCAGGGATGAGTAAGTCATTTTCAAACTGAGTACTAATTTAATTTCACACATGAGGCAGTTCAATGTTCTCATACACGTTTTTAATTGCAACATTGGTATAATCCCCTACTTCATTAGGTTTCAGATTGTGTTGGCTATTCAAAGACTATAAAGCATTTCAATAAGTTAATAGAAGATTTCGAATATATCATAGAAACAACTCTTAAAAAATGAAAAATTGAAACCAAACCTGTTTTTCTCTCATTGAAACAATGGATTAAAATTGATAAATTGAATAAGAAACCTGTTTATTCTCTCATTGAAATTGCTTGACAATATCAAAGTATAAAATATCCAGGTAGAAGAGTTATTTTATGTATAAGACTTCGAGTATACCATAGAAATAGTCGATTAAAATTGATGACTGAAACCAAACATGGTTTTGCTGGAGTCGTTTGTCATTGATCCCAATAAACCAGTAACTCTATTAGATTGAAATACATGGCTCTACTCCTACTAGTTATTTTGAGTCAATTTTATATAATACCGTTAGTACTATTATATTGAACTACATGGCTCTGCTCCTACTTTATTAATACCAGTAAGTGCAAAATGCTTTTAATATCACCTTTTTTACTGAAAAATAGTCATCCATTCAACCTTTGAAACTAATAACTCCTCCATAGAGTCATTGAACTTTGTAAAACAACCAAGGTTAAGATCTTTGTCCGTAACCTACTAAAACTATATTGCATAATACTCATAGAACTATCTACAGTCATAGACCAAGTATGATAGATAGCGGGAAGAGTATGGGGCAGGACCGGGCTTGGGCCCACTTCCGTGGGCCGGTTACGGGTTGTCTTTATAATTTATTTATTATTATTAAATGTTATGTTTTGGTTTGGGCCTATTATTGTAGAGTACTTAGTAGAGTTAGTATGAGCCTAATTAGGATTTAATTAATTTGGGCTTGATTAGGGTTTCTTGTAGAAGGCTATTCATACCCCTCGCCAGGGTTCATTCTTGTTATCTTGGAATAAAATTGGTTTTAGCCTATTGGCTTTGGACAACGGTATATTCGGTTGATTTTATTTTTTTCTGCTTCATAACAAAGTATTATTACCTTATGAAGCAAATGAGGGAAAACATTGAATAAACTCACAATCTATGCATTTTGATGTGAAACTAGTAATTCCACCCGTGCTACGCACGGGAGTGAAGATGTTTGGATAAATCATACTCCCTCCATCCCAAAATGGTTGGCCAATATTGACTTGCACGTTGATTAACAAAGTACAAATTGTATGGTTGAAATTTGTGCAGATAAGAGAGAATTAAATTTAGCCACATATTCCTTACTTTAAATGGAAGTGACAAACCTTTTTTGGACTGCCATTTCGGCATTTTGGGTCGGATGGAGTACATAAACTCAAAGAATTTCATAGTTAATTAAGCAGTGTCAGACACTCGGACTCGATACCAGACCGGGTCTATCCCACCTCATATTTGAGGAAATCTCTTATGTTCCACCCATGATTGGATAATTTTTTCTTTGAAGTAAAGAGTGAGTTTTTAACTAAAATCCTATTTTATTGAAAAGATTGCAAGAGAAATCATACAATTTTTTTTTAAGCAGCAAATTGTCCCTAAGAAAAATTCATCATCATCATCAATAAGAAAAGACTAAAACAACACTTCAGTGGCTTGAAAGTTTACTTTAAATTAAATTAATTTATCCCATAAAGGATGAAGACCCTATAGAAGATAAATAATACCGAGTACATGGTAAATGTTGGCTACCACTTTAGATTAACTTAGTTACAAACATTTCCATTCTCAGGTTTTGAAGAACTAATATGGTTTGGTAGCAAATCCACTATTATAAAGAAATTAGGAGTTTCCTTATAAAATAGACTATGAAAATAAAGACGGCCTAAAAGTTCTTTATATTATTAAAAAACACGTTAACAACTATTGAATAGCTGATTTGCAAATAGATTAGAGTGCAGCGTGAATAAAAACGTTCTAATTAGTTTTACCAACGGTGGACCATTAATTTTCCCATTGTTACATTGGCATATTCTCTTAGTTCTGGTATACAAAACCAAGTGGTTAATGGATTCTTTTCAAAAATAAGGTGTGACAGTTCTCTTCATCTGACAAAGTATGGGTTGTACTTAAAGTTCAATTTCTAAATTCATACAAACTAATGACCATAAAGAGAACTGAGCCACTATGAGCCTCACATGGTAAAATTTTGGCAAAATACCCCTGACTTCCATCATCACTCTATTTTCAAATATCTTACTCTTCCATATGTCGTCATGTCCTCTCCACACAACCTCATTTTGAAGCACTGCCTACCAGTCATGGTGTGGATGGGGTCTCACTTGATTCACACAATAGCTAGTGTTGAATTTTGCTTCATTTCCTCATCTAGATAAACACCATATATATATATATATATATATATATATATATATATATATATAGAGTAGTCTTCCTGTCCAGCCGGCCTGACGGGAACCGCCGTCCGGCCGAGGGCATTTCGGGCACTTCCCGGTGGAATTTTTTGATGAAATTTTTTGAGCATGTTCTTCATGAAGTCTAGTTTATGCATACCAAATTTTAGATAAAAATTCAATCGGGAAGGCAGTCAAATAATTTGTTGAAGTTAACTGCGCAGTTTATATGTATGAACTGCCCAGTTAACTTCAACAAATTATTTGAGTGCCTTCCCGATTGAATTTTTAGCTGAAATTTGGTATGGATAAACTAGACTTCATGAAGAACATGCTAAAAAAATTTCATCAAAAAATTCCACCGGAAAGTGCCCGAAATGCCCTCGGCCGGACGGCGGTTCCCGTCAGGCCGGCTGGACATGAAAAGTTGTCTATATATATATATATATCCCCAAGTTCGAATCACAAACCTCACACAATTAGGATCGGCAAACAACTTTGACTACAAATAAATTCACGAAATATATTAAATCGACTAAAGGAAGCATATTAAATCAAATTGAAGATTTATAGAAAAAATGACTGAAATTACCTTTAGAGGATGAAGCAATGTCATAAAGATACATTGACTCTAAATGTTAAATCTAGATTTAAACTTCATGGAAAAATCGCTACTATTGTACATGTTTTGTTCCTTTTAACAGTTAAGTTCAAGTTCATCACTACTGTGTTTCATCCTTATAAATATATAAACAAAATTGGGTGCAAATCATTCCAAAAAGATTAGATGGGGAAACATTTAAGAATAATCCAATGGGCAGGTTACCTATACATGTATTTGAAATTCAAAATCAAAGTAAACTTGCAAATCTTCTTCACAACATCGAAAAAATCAATCTAAAAAAATACAAAGTGAAGAGTCAAACGAAGTAAATACGGGCAAGTTTTGCTACTTGTTAGGTTTTTTCTATCAATATCGACTGCTGTGGGTATTGTTAACAAACTGCCACTAACATTTCTTTAAGGCTAATAAAAAACAGTGTGCACTACCTCAAGCTGGCAACAACTAAAGATTCGTGTACTTCTTTTAGTTGATTCTTGATTGTTTTAGTGCAGCAAAAATGTTATTCATAGTTTGTAAGAAGGTTGAAAAGCTGCGGGTGATGTATATTTCTTCTATTGGCTGAACTAATCGACTTTTTGTTTCTTATTTCTTACCCTCATCAAGCTACTGCCAGCTGCTTTGAAATAATTTAGAAAATAAAAATAAACTGTTTGGAAAACATAGCTACTGCACCAATTCCAAATCACATGAACCAGTAAAAGATTTCAATGAGACATGAAGGGAAACAATGAAATCATTCATGCCAAGTTAAACCTAAATGGGAAAAAACAGAGTTCCAATTCAAGCACTAAAACCAGCAAAATACTAACCAAATATCATAAACCAAAGCTTTGAAATCAACTCCAAGGGACAAAGTAGTAACTGCAAGTCTTTCGTGTTACCCTATAATATAAAAAGTGAGAGTGAAGAGAGTTTAAGGTCCTTTGATTAAAATTGGTTAGCAAAATGCTCAATGAAATTGGAAGTATTATCCAAATATCTAAACCAAATCATGAATTAGAAAAAAAATCTCAACCAATATTGGTCATATAGAAGATAAAATACAGAAGACAGAACGGTAGCAAGCATATAGAAAATGTAGTGTATGTTTGTATAGAGCATTGAACATTAATAGTTAATAACCTTTTCAAAGATTGTGTGTCAATACTTTTTTATTTTTCTCTACTGGAGCTTTAGAAGAATAGAAGACAGAAAATAAAAAACAATGAAAATGAAAGCAATACTGACCATCTTCACTCATACATTAGAAAAACCAAAAGCCAATAACAAAAGAAAGATTAATAAGATGAATCATCTTACAAAAACGAAGGGTTGCAGCTCCTTAATGAATATGGAATTAAGAACATGAAAAAGTGGCCTGTAATAGTATGAGTTATAAGTCGAAAATGGAACCACTTAAGAGTACTTATAATAGTTCTAACAATAAATTAGAAAAGTAGAAAACACAGAAAACACTCACAAGTTCTTTTAGCCTTTCTTGCTTTGTCATCTCTATAACAGGCCGATATGCAGCGGTAGTGCAAAATATCTGTTAGGGGAGATTGCAAAATATTTCAGCTATTAAACATGTTTGTAAGCATCTACAACACCATGTAGCCGTTGAGGAACATAGTAGTACTTCACTGTCCAGTGTCCACAATAACACCAATATAATAGCACTTGAAATCATGTTTCAGAAAGTTCTACATAAATAGAATGGGAATGGCTGTAGATAATTTAGATAATATATTGATAAGAACTTCTGGACAGGAATTTTAAATTAGTACTTCAAAATGTGTTTGAGAAAGTTCTAAAAAATGAATGAGAATAGCTGCTAAGAATGCAAGAACCTTTGGATAGAAATCCCCTTATTCACCTGCACTTTGACAAAGTTGAGAGAGTGTAGGCATGAACAAAAGAAAAGTCTACTGAAATTAGTATCTTGCACTCTTCCTGAAGGGCGGGCTGTGCTTTTTCCGATTAGAATGGCTATAGAGCTTGGTTTGTTAATCAAAATAAAAGCTTCATTGACTAAACTGTGAA